AGTTTTCCACTGGTGGCTCTTCCTTTCCCCCTTCTGGTACCCCTATAATTCGGATGTTCGAGCATTGAAAGATGTCCTGGAGGTTCCTAAGACTCTCCTCATTTTTTTGAATTCTTGCTTCTTGACTCTTTTCTGTTTAGCCATTATTTGCTTTCTTCTGGTCCATTCCATTGATTTGAGTCCCAGTTTCCTTTTCATCGCTATTGGTTTCCTGTGCAATTCCATTCATTTCAATTAGTTTCCCCTTCATATGTTTGTCTAATTTGTGGCTATAATCAACCAGTTCTGTGAGGATCCTGATGACCAGTGTTTTAAACTGTGTGTCTGAGAGTTTTGCTATTTCTTCATCGCTTAGATTTATAGGCTCTGGGGCTTTGAGATTTTCTTGAGCCATTTTTGGTGTGTTCACTCCCTTAAAGTGTGAGGAGCGAGCCTTGGACTCCCAGGTCGCTGGGTTGTGATGCTATATGTGGGGGCGTGGTCAGAGCGGGCAAATCGTGGCCCCCTTGGCTGTTTCGGGCTGCTCCGAGAGGAGCAGAGCCTTAGGTTGTTCACCGGGAAAGGGCCACTTAGGTCGCTGGATTATGATGCTGTATGTGGAGGCGGGGTTAGAGTGGGGAAATTGCGGTGCCCTCCGCCTCTGCTTGTGGCTGGGTCTGCTGGTTCCCGTCCAATCACCCACTCCACACACGAATGCATGACCACAGTCAACCCGCAGCCCTGCTCCCTCGCTGTTTCCTGGAGGTCGCTTGCTGGGTTGCTCACTAGGTCCACCCCTGCACCTGGATTCTGCACACCTGAGTCCGTCTGACGGAGTTTTCCTGTGCTACCACACTCTGCCAGCTGCCTGTTTCGCCCCTCTTACCAGTCAGGCTGAAGAATTTTTGTTATCAGACTTCCGAAAAATTCAATTTTCTATGTTCTGGCTGTGTTTTCTGTTGCTATTATTTAACTGTCTCTAAACTTGGTTGTGTGAGGAAGCACGACGTCTCAACCTATGCCTCCATCTTGGCGGAAGTCCCTCCTTGTTTTCCTTTTTAACCATATCAGATGGAACAGGTGTTCTCAGGGGCAAGCAGCTTAACTGTTTTCAGCTAATGGTAAAAAATCTCAAGGAAGGTGTCTAAATATTTATCACTGACATAGTGAAATTCTCTATGGACAGAATTTGCTTCAATTTAGACATTCTTAAAAATAGGGAGCTTTGTCTTCATATTCTGGATACTTACTTCTCTTAAACATTTTGTTATGGGAATTATCAAACCAACAGAAGAATACAGAGACTTGTAGGAGGGTCTCCCACATATTCATCACCTGGCCTACACAAGTAACACCACTGGGTAACCCCATTCCTTCTACACCCAACTCCTCCTAGACGTCTTCAAAACAGCCCCCAATGCCATCTCACCCATGAAACTTCAGTATCATTTCTAAGAGATGAGGTGCCCCTCCCTTTCAAAACATAATGGTAAGAGCAGGAGTACCACTGTCATAAAGGAACAGCTCTTGCACATCATCTAATAGCCACTGGGTGGTCACCTTTCCTGGATTCTCTCATAAATGCCTTTTTACTGTTGGCTTCTTTTGATCAGGATCTAAACAAGGGCCAAGTATGGCACTTGGGTGACGTGTCTTTCAGGCTGTGTTAATCTACAATCTCTCCAGCCTGTTCTCCTTTTCCCTTGCTGCATGGAGGAAATTGTGAATGTCTCGCTGTGACGCCTTCATCCCAGCTAGCATTAGCTTATGCCTAAAGGTAAAACGTACATTCATGGCAAGGCTTTTGCTTATGGTAGGGGATAGACTTTGACACTTCAAAGTCTGGATGACTGTGCATTTTGGGCAGACCAATTAGATTGCTTTGGTTTTCATATGTACCGCAGTTCTAACAAAGCTTAGACCAGCGTGGCCATTCTATTATGGTCCCTTGGGTTTACATTGTTGGCCTTTAACTCAGTTCCTTTGCATAGACCTTTAAAAATTACTGGAGTTCAGCTTTTGAGTGTTAACATTTTATGAATCTTAAGCCACCGATTTTGTCACATCTTAGCATCTGTGAAATTGGTTGCATATTAAAGTTGATGGTGATAGTTTAACAGGTGTCATTCTTCTTTCCTATTTGCTTCATAAAACCATGTCACATCTCCCAAGGAAGTTTTACATTTGCTTAAATGTACTAGTTTACTTAAACTAGGGAAAACAAAGGCCCCTCCCTGTGAACTTCTACTCTCCCCTCCAACCAGTGGGCAGGATGCCACCCTGAGGTGGACCAATCAGGATTTAAGTAGGGTCCCAACAGCCATTCTGAGTTTTCAGGACAGAAGTGCTGTCATACAGAACCAGCTTACCCAGCTGCTGGAAGACAGGGGGCCAAAGCGAGAGAAGTTTCCAGAGATCCAGAAGTGCAAGGCTTTCTGGGAATCTCGGGCACTGGCTTCAGCTTCCCTCATGACTGAAGTGGGTGAATCTCAAGATGACACCCAGGGGCCTGGCAAAACCCACATCTGCCTTCTGCTGATGCCCAGAGGCCTGTCCTGAGCAGCCAGCGATGGAAAATTACTTTCCTCCCTCCCCCACTTGTGGTAGAACTGAACCCACCCTACCATAAGGCACAGTGGGAAATGCTGCTTCCAGGCTGTGTGTCTCTAAGCACAGGGGACAACTCAGAAGGGCTGGGGTGGTCCCAACGGTCACTACCACCCAGGACGTCAGGACGCTTTACATTAGTCAATCTATACATTAAATGTGGAAGAGCTTAACATCTCTCGTCTTATATAAATCTAACATGCGATGTGCTCAATGTGCTCTCCATGAATCAACTTCTGCACCTCGTGGAGTATGACCCTCCACTCCAACATCAAGGGACTTGAGCAGCCCAGGCCCACCTAGGCAGGTGGAGTGAGGCCTGCAGAGGTCATAACCCAGTTTTGGCTGCCCCCTTGCCTCCGAAGGGTTATTTTCCCAAACAAATGAGCTTAATTAAGCCCTTAGTTCTTCATCTGAAGAGCAGGCCACAGAATGACTGAAAGAAATATCATGACGCTCACCACTCAGTCACTGGGAGCTGATGCACATGCTGTAACACAAGCAGCCCAAGGCTCTCCTTTCCGTGAATGTGGAGTCACCTCCATGAGATCTAGCAGCTTGAGGGGGAGGAGTGGGGCCCCATATGTATTAAGGATATCCCTGCAGGGATGATAGTGCCCCTAAAGCCAGGGAAGAGGGACCCATAACACCAGAGTTGCCTTTAGTGTGCAGGAAGGTCAGAGAAGCAAGGAAGCACAGAGACCCCCAAGCTAGATGGATGCAAAGAGGCCCACTCCAAGATACATCATAATTAAAACACAGAAGGTTAAAAGATGAAGAGAAAATCTTAACAGAAAGAAGAAAGAAGTTACTTATCTATAGGGGAGTACTCAGAAGACTGTCACTGGATTTCTCAAGAGAAACTTTGTAGCCTAGAAGGGAGTGGCAAGAGATATTCAATGTCAGGAAAAGCAGGGACCTACAGTCACGATTGCTCTACCCAGCAGAGATATCATTTAGAATCAAAGGGCAGGTAAACAACTTCCCAGATAAGAAAAAACTAAAGGAGTTCATCATCACCAAACCATTATTGTATGACATGTTAAAGGGACTTCAAGAAAAAGATCAAAACTATGCCCAATAAAATGGTAAAAAATACAAATCAACAGTTGAATCTAAAAAACTAAGCAAACAAGGACAGAATCATGGATACAAAGAGCATTTTGATGGTTGTTTAATGGGAGGGTGTGGGAGAATGGATGAAGAGGTGAGGATTAGAGTACAAATAACTAGTTACAGAATAGTTTTGGGGCCCTGGCTGGTGTGGCTCAGTGGTTGAATGCCAGCCAGACTGCAAATCACGGTGTTGCCAGTTTGACCCCGACTAGGGCACATGCCTAGGTTGCAGCCTGGACCTCCAGTAGGGGGCACGTGAGAGGCAACTACACATTGGTGTTTCTTTCTCCTTCCCTTCCCCTCCATGGCTTTAAGAAAATAGCCATGGGGATATAAAGTACAGTGATGTATGGAGTACCCAATAACCCATGGACATGACAAATGGTGGAGAGATTGACTGAGGGAGTGGGGGGTGCTTGGTGGAGGGGGGATTAGAGGGGGATAAAGGGAAAACCAGGACAACTGTAATAGCATAATCAATAAAAATACAATTTAAAAAATGATACAGATTTTTAATGAGAAAAAACTCATTAAGTGCTATTAAAAAAAAAGGCCTGGCAAGTTCACTGGAGGCTAACATGATATTCTCTACACTAGTCATTTATAACCTCTCAGTGAACAAGTGGTTCTGAATCACCCAAGTCTCAGACAGCAGATGACCACACCATGCCAGTCACCTGAGCATCATCCCTGGGGCCTGTTATGACCATGACTCCTCCGGTGAACTATGAGACAGGCTGCTGAGAAGCAACAGTGGGAAGTTGCTGGGTTCCCAGGCACTGAGCAGTGGCTCCTGGGATGGGTGGGCTGAGAGGTGGGATACAGAAGGCCACAACCCTGAGGCTCTAAGGCCTTTCCACTGTGTAAGATGGGAGAGCTGAAGGCAGAGGGGCAGTATGGCTCTGGCTCCAGGGGTAAAGGAGCAGCCAGAACTTCCAGCCAGACATATGAACTCAGGTGGGACGGTATCTGGGGGCACTGGCATTTTCTAGCATGCTCGCTCCATCAGCAACATTGCAAGTAACAAAACTTTTGAGCACAGATGAAGCTCACTGATTTAACTTCTGACTGTTCCCCTGGGGTCTTGTTGAAGGGCCCCACAAGAGACCAGCCTTTGCTCCTCAGAATCTGTTCACCCATAGAATGAGGTCAAGTGTTAAAACTCAAGTATTTGGACATGCAAAATCACAAACTTACTAGAGCACTTTTTCAATATAACCAATCCATACATAAATGTAACGAGGTAAAAGCAAATCACATATGAGGTTCTGGCACTAGTTTTTGCAGGTATTTTTAACTTTATTATAGTTTAAATTCTGAGAACTGTAAAAACATAGTATTTGTATAAACACCTGAGAAATGTTCAACTGGACACACCATCTTCACTCAAACAATTTGAGAGATTAAAAGTACAAATTAGAATCTTGTCTTGTAACACAGAGGTAATAACATAGATAAAACCCATCTTTAGATTACAAATGCCTAGCAAATAATTGCATTTGTTTATAAATATAAAGGACACTTGGTTTCCTAAAAGGTAGATGTACATTCTGGCCCATGGCAAACAATTATTGGCATTTACAACAAATGGCTAATACAATTAGCACCAATTGTCATAGCTTATAGACATTACAACAATTATACAATAGAACAATGTAATAAATAACAATGAACATGTTTTGCTTGAAATTCCCAGTATAAGAAGTTCCAAAATGATAAATTCAAACTAATGTACCTTCCATAGTTCAGAGACAAAATGGCTCAGAAAGCAAAGTAACTAGAAACATTGCACAGGACAGAGAACTTTCCTGTATGTAAACTCTGAAGAGTGAGCTGAAAGCTACTAGTGATGGGAAACGATGTGCATATTTTTTACAGAGTTAAGACATCTCACTATATATGATGAGTCTTTATCTCTGTAGAAGTGCAAAGTATCATTTTAAATTAAAGACTTACTTGTATGTAAACTTCACATATAGAATAAAACATTAACATGAATATGCATCTTTTAAGAATTTGGACATAGGCACCTTCAGAGAGCGATTTGAACTACAAAAGGCTAATATCAGAGCTAAAACAAAATATTTAAAAGTTTTAAAATAGCATATATTTAATGAAATAGCATATAGCCAGACTCCACCCAAAGCATACTTGTAGTGTAAGAGCAGAGTGTCAAACTCATTTTCACTGGGGGCCACATCAGCCTCCCAGTTGCCTTCAAAGGGCCGAATGTAACTTTAGGACTGTATAAATGTAACTACTCCTTAACAGTTAAGCGAGAGCTCAGTGCTGCTGCTGCGTAGAAACAAGGTGCAGAGCCAGATAAAACAAGGTGGAGGGCCGGATTCTCATGGGCCTTATGCTTGCCACCTGTTATCTATTGCATAAAACAACTATTCTATCTATCTTATAATTTATCAAATGACTGGCAACAACACTTTAGAAACTTTATAGAATTAATTTTTCTTTAACTGAAAATAAATAGAGAAATAAAAACAAAAGTAAAGTTATATGGTTATTCCCTTTCTGGAAACTGGTAGAACAGAACACTGCTATTACAGATATATAATAGTTGAGAAAGAGATGATATCTGCAGTTATATCTTTAAATTTTCTTCTAAGGAAAACTTCTCATAGATTTTATTAGAGAACTTGTCAATCCCTAATATTTTCTCTTTGGGATTTAGCTGTTTTTGTTCTATACATAAACATCAACCAAAGTCAAAGGTATTTCTCTCTGTTTCTTATATGAAGTAAAAATGACAATATGGCAACAATAAAGATTAAACAGAAACTGCCCATTTGAATATGCTAATAACAACACATTGAATAGTTGCTAAAGAAGTAGACTGGACTATAATGTAACTCTGTGATTCTGGATATAACCAGCTTTTAGAGGAACCTTCTACAACACAAATATTTCTAAGAGCAGTAAAATGATTTTACAGCAAGATAGCATGGTTTTCCCCAGAATTAAGTCCAATCTAAATCTACACAGATGTTTTCTCAAATGTCAACGATGCATTTTTCTTCTTTAAGCTTTTCAATGTAGTGGCACAACTTCAGAGCTGTCCCGAGCTTCAGCCCCATATACTTCATCATAACCTCACTGTGGAGTAACAGCATGGCTTTCCCATCAATTTCCTACAGAGAAGAAAATTAGAATAATTAATAATGCTTCCATATTTTATCAAAATAGTCATTTCTTTATATATAAGAATGTGTAACATCCATTAGAGGGCAGGTCATTCCAGATATATATTCTCTGACTATGCACCTGCTTGATGAAAACTACTGAAGATACAATTTGTACAGCTGAAGCATTATTTGGTCATTAGTAAATTTACTTCAAATTTTAAGATAAAGGAAATTTAACCTAGTATTGTAAAAATGTCCTTAGTGTCAAACTACCTAACTTTACATACTGTATGTAGAATAAAATCCTACATTGAACAGTAAGAAAAAAATAATAAAAAAAAGGAATGGTAGAAATAGATTTCAGACAGTCATTAACCTCCTTAGAAAGGCAGGGAATATGAGTATGTCAGCATCAATGCAAACTGTGAATGTGCTATACAGTGTTGTGTTTATGGTGAAAGCTCATCAATTACTTGTCTGAAGTTAAAAAGATGATGAAATTAATTACTGATTTTTGTACCATATCTAAAAGGGTGTATTAGATGTGTGGTCACTAATTTTATCCATTACAAAAAACTGTAAGAATATGACTCCATAGATACAGGCATCCTCCTTAAAACCTTTATTATGTTAACTAAACAACTGAAGCTGCTGGAGCATACGATTTGGTTTTCATGAGATCTGGTTTAAAAATAAAAATTTAGCCCTGGCTGGTGTAGCTCAGTGGATTGAGCATGGGCCTGCGAACCAAAGGATCGTGGTTTGATTCCCAGTCAGGGCACATGCCTGGGTTGCAGGCCAGTTCCTAGTGGGGGACCCATGAGAGGCAACCATACATTGATATTTCTCTCCCTCTCTCCTTCCCTTCCCCTCTAAATAAAAATAAATGTGTATAATTCTTTAAAAAAATTTACTGAATCATGTATGTGTATCATACACTGAAAACATGAAATCCCATATAGTACTGCGTTTGTTAGGCACCTTCCATACTTTTTTCTACTAAGTAAAACTGGGAAGTTAAAGAAAGAAATTAGAACTTAAATGACATGAGAGTATCAGCATCCCAAACCTGTAATAACCATGTAAGGTTAACAGAACTAAGCAAATGGAATCAGCTGCTGGATTCATTAGGCAACATAACAGAACGTAGCTTTGTAACAACAGCTACGACAGAACTGTTGTAGCTGTCGTTACAAAGGACAAGACACCTGAGAGTGAATGACCAGGCTGAATAATCTGCTCTTGAGAACTTAAAGACTTGTAGTATTTTAGGTACTCAGATACCCATTTAAAGTACAGATCCAGCCTCTATCACTCATGGCTTTAACTTTGAGCAAAGTAAATATTCTCACATAAGGAAAAATCAGTTGATAGGGTTCACCATTCACACTAATCAGCATCCAACTGAAGAAGCCTATACAGAGGTCATTCAAAGGCAGGAAAACCAGATCAAAAGATACATTACATGTTCCCTGAAGAGGTCAGCGAGGGGCAGGAGAGTATGAGGATCTACTTCTTTCAGAAACAGGATCACTTCCTCTACAGACCAATCTGCAGGGTCTGCATAGTAAGGGTATTGCAGTACACCTGGGTCATTTTCAACTGCTGAACTTGTAGCTTCAATGGGGGAAAAAGACAAATTATATTGGATTAGCAAAAAAAGTCACTTGTTTTCTGTAAGATGGCTCTAGTAGCACTTAGTTGTCTTTAAATTCATTCAAAACAATTTCGTCACATTGTATCATGACAGCTGTCTCATCAACATGAATTTAAAAAACATCAAAATTGGTAAATTTTCCTGTAGTCATTTTAATATTGAAGATGAAAAATAAGTGACATTTTAACAGTTTATGCTTCATTATTTCAAAAAAGGTAAAAATGCAACCAAAACATATACTAACAAAGATTTGTTCAGTGTATGCAGGTGCTGTGACTGATCAAGAGTCAAAAGCAGTTTGTGAAGTTTTGTGCTGGAGACTTCTCACTAGACAATGCTCTGCAGTTCAGAAGATCAGTTGAAGTTGATAGCAATCAAACTGAGATAATAATTGAGAACAATCAACATTACACCATGTGGGAGATAGCTGACATACTCAAAATATCCAAATCAAAAAAGTCACTGGTGAAAATGAAAAATGTGTCTCTTTTTGATGGAAAAAACCATATAGACTTTTTGGCTAACCCAACACTTGACCTGATCATTATCCTGAAAGAAGAGATGTTACTTAAATAGGGAGTGTTGGTCTCATTCCTGGAACCATTTGTTAAGTAGCCCAGGAAGGACCCAGGACTCCAAGTATAAAATCCAGTAAAAGCTTACATGAAGATGGTGTGAGGATAGGTACCCACAAGTGTCCCATCTGACTGCCCACGAACAACAAAAGCAGCTTCAGAAGTTACCAGAAAGCTTCAAACATAAAACAGACTGAACAACCCAAAGTTTCTTTGGCCACAAATACAGCAAAAGATCTGTTACTTGGGTTAATTAGGTCAATCTAAGCTAACCTATTACTCTCTTAAGTATTTCAGTGAATTTCTCTCAATCTCTCCCCTCTTGGTCTGTGTAGATTGGATTTATTTTACTAAATACAATGGAAATTCCCCAAATTTAATTTTATAATTGCTTAAATTTATTCACTTTAACCAATGAATTTAAAAAACCTATTATCTTTGAGACTCAAATTAGTTCTTTACTGACTCTATTGTATTTATTCATTATGGATATTTTAAGCATCATTTTAGTCTTTTAAATTCCTGTCTCTTAAGGCTTAAATTTTTACCTAAATTTTGAAGAAAACAAGATTATCTTCTGCTTAGCTATGCCAAAAGTAACTTTACAACTATATTTAATACCTCTTTTGAGTTTAATTACACAGTAATACCTATTTTGACTGAAAGTTTGTATACTGAAAAAATAATACATAAAACTGAAGTGCTCATACTTCAGTTTTAGCTGTCATGTTCACTAAGTTGTGCTGAAATTTTTCTGTGTCTAAACAACTATTCATTTTCCAACTACAGCACTCAACTCTATAGTCTGTGGTAACATAAGTGTGTTTTATAATTCCCTAGAAAGATCATTTCTTTAACTAAGGACCATCAACACAATTCTGATCATTCTTGTGCGTGAATTAGCCAAAGGTGTACCTTTTCTTTCCTATCATCTGGGCTCTGCCCATTTCAGGAACATTTTGTATATTTACTCAGGAAACGGGTAAAGAAAAACAAAAGATTAAAAACCTCACAGTAGTATTCATTATGAATATTAATGGAGAAGAGACATGTCAGCTGATTAGCGGTGCCATATAACAGATACTTAACAAATGTTGTCACCATAATATCACCCCAAATCAGTTCTCAAAATACAAAACAAATAACTTCCCCTAGCCTGCACCGAGGATGTTGAGGAGTATAGGTTAAATACTGCTACTTCTAAAATGTGCCGTTTCACACTCACCGAAGGCAGTATGGCCAAAGCTCTCATTTTGTGTCAAGGTTGGGTAAGCCATCATATCATGATGGCTTGGACTTGATCTGCCCTGGCCCGGCATGGCTGCAGGTACAGATGTAGAAGCTGAGAGAACATTGGTGGTGCCATGAGCCCTTGGGCTGTCAAAGCAGGGCATGGAAGAGGACCCCTGCACTAGATCAATGGGTGGGTAACCTGACGGATATGATGCAGAGCAGCCAGGAAATGTTGGACTCTGGCTAAGGCGTATGTCTCGGCCCTCATAGAATGAACGGTGATCCTGAGTAAGGGAATCCTGTGACTGATAGAATGTACCCATAGGGCTATCCTGGGAATCTGTTGGTCTTCTTACTGGCACAGTTGGGCTATAACTATGACTACGAGACAAATCAGCAGGGAAAAGAAATTCAGACACATTATCAGGCTCATCAGGCACAGCAGGCACAGCAGGCTCATCAGGCACAGCAGGCATAGCAGGCTCATCAGGCACAGCAGGCTCATCAGGCACAGCAGGCACAGCAGGCTCATCAGGCACATCCTTCTTCGTTTTCTGATATTTCACCCTTCTAGAAAGCAGGTTAGTATAATGTTTGTACGCATATCCAAGTGGCTTCTGAAATAACAAAAACCCAGAATAAACCAACTGAAAATGAACAAAAAAGGAAAGTAGTAAACACATCAATATTTATTATCCATGCAACATTGCTTGCTATTATTAAAGATTAATATTCTACTTGATTATATGATTTTTATATCTCTTCAACCCTACCTTCTAATTGCACTTTATACATAATGGATACAAACATAAAAATACCCACTCTCATTACTTTTCTCAAACCTGCACTTAAGCATTCTTCCTAGAAATTTAGTCTTCTGTCTACTGCTACAAGCATGGATCACACAACCTCACAGACTTACTACTTCTCTCTCACTTTTAACTGACAGGCGTCTTCAGAAACCAGGGGTTTATTATAGTTGTGAAAATATTTTATGACACTTACGCGATTTTGCCAGAATAAATTTGCACGAAAACGGTAAATTTTTGAAACCTTCATGTTCATGACATCAAATTTCCTATCCATGTTTTCAAGAGTATCCTGGATGACCTATAATAATACAATCTATTAGTGGGTTCTACATCAAAATATAAGTAACATATAAGAAAATACCTTTAAGCCAATTTTGATTGCTAAGAACAAAGAAAGTTCTCATGCCATCAGAAATGTCTTGCTTGCCAACTTGATACCTGGTTGTTGGTAAGAGAGAGCTGGATGACCACAAGGGTCCCCAACCTCCAATGCAACCACGTTGCAATGCCTCCATGTCATACAGGCATTTTGAGAGGCTTTAATTCTGGAAAGTAAAGGTACCGCAATTCCTATAACCTATCACAGTCCTGATGGGAGTGATTTTACATCAAGAAGGTACTACTTTCGGAAATAAATGTTCAATTCTGCTGAAAATCCAAAGAACCTCTTTCCATATGATGACAACATGGACTAATAGGCATTCCACTCTGGGAAGAACAGTGAGCCAGATATATCAGATGTTAAACTTCTAGCTTCAAAACATTTAAAATTTGTAAAATCAACTAATGCCATAAAATCTTTGAGTACAAATCCCCTATATGGCAATCAGGTACGTGACTAAATTCTTGAAATACAGAGAATTTTCATTCAGGCAAAAAAAGACACTTAAATCATAGACCAGAACCATTTCCTCATTCTCTCATTCCAATAAACATTTACTGAGGGCATACCACCTGTCAGAACTACTATGCTAGATGCTGGAAACATGGATGGTAAGGGGAAAAACCCCCTACCAGCTCCTGTCCTAAGGAACTCCTATTCTAGCTGGAGAGAGACAAGTGAAGAGATGATTTCAATAGAGAAAGTAATTAGCAGCCTGGAGCAGTCAAAGTATGGACTTGTGGACCAGTAGCATCAATACTAGTAGCATTTACTGGAAACACACAATCTCCTACCCCAGACTTAATGAATTGGGAACTCAAGAGTCGGAATAGCACCTGTGTTTTCACAAGCCCTCCAGGTGATTCTGTTACCTCATCAAGTGTGAGGCCCAGTGATGGGCCTACAGCTCTGAGGTAAATAGTGCAGATTCTAGGGGAACGGGCTTGGATCTCAGTATTAGAGTTCTGCCACTTAGCTCTGTGACCTTGGTCAAGTTACTTAACTTCTCTGTGCTTCAACTTCCTCACGTATAGAATCAGGATGAAAATCGCTCTGAGTTCTCTTGAGGACAAAGCAAGGTGCTATGGTATTATGTTCATACTAACATAATAGCAATACTACACGATGACTGGGCCAATCGTGCTCAATCATCTATTAATATGAACATTACTATTACGACTATCATGGCACAGGTCAGAACAGGGGGCTAAGTGTATGCAAAGACCTAATGCAGGTTGGCAGGTCTTTTCAGAGAAGCAGATGTCTATGCTGAGAATGAAAAGACAAGAAGGTGTTTACTAGGTAAAAATGCATAGAAGGACATACAGGGAAGAAAGAAGAGTGTCTTCAAAAATACTCAGAAAACAGGAAAGTCAGGTGTTTCAACAGTGAACATAACTGACATTCAAAGAGCTAGGTTATTAAAGGAAGGAGAAAGGAAGGATGACAGTGGAAGAGGGCTGGGAGGCTGAAAGAAGTGATTTTTTTAAGTTTTATTTATTTATAGAGGGGAAGGGAAGGAGAAAGAGGTATTGAAACATCAACACGTGGATGCCTCTCATGCGCCCCATACTGGGAACCTGGCCTGCAACCCAGGCACGTGCCCTAACTGGGAATTGAACCAGTGACCTGTACTCAATCCACTGAGCTACACTAGCCAGGGCAGAAGTAGTTTTTTAAAAACCATAAGAGAACATGTTGAGAGTGATAGACACAGAGGATGAAGATCCAGGAGAGAGAGGGATGACCCATGAAGGGAGGAGTCTGAGCACAGGGAAAGAGGGTCAGATGCAGAAACCAGCGGAGGTGTTGGCCTTACAGAGGAAAACACCAGAAGAAGAATGTACCCTAGGCAAGTCTGTTGGCTGTGGGGAGAAGACTTCTGCTCCCCACCTCATTTTCTCCATTAAACAAGAGGCAAGGATGGGTGTGTCTGGAGCACATGGGGAGAGGGTGCTGACTACAGACCAAACAGTGGACAGGTCCCAGCAGAAGTCGTCCCCTCTGCTTCCCAGCATGGACAAGGCTGGGTTTTACTAAAGAGGATGTGGGCAAGGATAAAAAAGAAAAGATGGAAATGCTGCACCATGCAGTCTAGGGCAGTAAGGGAAGAAGTTGAAGAGAGGAGAGAGCTAACACACTAGGAGAAATAGACTGGATCCCTCATGAGGCCTGAGTATGTCTTACCTCTTACCTGAGATGCTACATCCCACCCCACCCTGCACAATTGCTCAGAAGGCCCTGGCAGAGCAGTGTGTATCTAGGTGGTCTTGGATGCTTAGGCAAGGCGGGCTGGGGATAGCCCTGCTCAGAATGAGAACCCTCTCCCTCCTGCTATAGCCCACCCTCTGCACATCTTCCCCTGAAGATCTGATGTGTCCCCTTTAAGCATTGCACTTAAGACTCATAAACCATTATCTATTTTCTATTTTTCAAAGTATGCTGGCTCATTTTATTCAAGACACTTAGTACCTTAAGAAAATTGATTTTTTATAAATGTTCATTACCTCTAGGGTATGCAGCCCACAAAATCCTTGATAATCACATATTTCTATCTACCTCTACCAATATGCTAATTTTTACAAAATCCCCTCAAAACTATGTAAGATATACTTTTAAAAACAGTGGTTGGCTGCCATTTTGTTTCAATTGAGGTATCTTTGTATGCATTTAGGTACATACTAAATTGCATCCAAATCAGCCAATTTCCTTCGAAAATTTTGTAGGGAAAATTAATTCAATACTGAATAATCAAGATGAAAGAGACATAACTACATTTGATCATTTAAGGGCTTTAAAAAAACTATAAAATCTACATATTGCTACTTTGAAATTTCACCCAGAGATGCTATTCAATAAACTAGAAATTGTTAAAAATGATCATGATGGGGTGACAATCATACATAATTTAATACAGCAAAATTTCAATCAACTGTATTCTTTACATAAAATAAAGAGAATTTCAGCTTAGCATTTTAGAAAACATTTGACAGAACTTTTGTACCTGGCAATAACTCAGGACATCCATAATTGGTTTTTGTTGCTCTTCAGAGGATGCGTCAGACTGAGCACTTTGCTGCTAAGATTTTAAATGTTAAGTATTAATGGTTTACTTCTGTAAGAGCCAAATTGAACATAGGATAAAAACACTGTATACTTATTTAAATTTTTACTTTTTTAGCAACTTTTCAGTTTCAGAAATTTTAATCTAAAGCAGAGATGAAATAAAAATATAATAGAAATGATAACTGCTAATTAAGAGAGAAAGGAAAGAATTTATTATATCGAAATGACCTATGTTTAGAATTTTGTACTAAAAATGGGTATTGCTCTCAATTTCCTACTACGCAAGGAAAAGAGAGAAGTAAAATGGTTAAATGTTCATTGTCTAATGAAAGGAGCCAAACAAATTCATGACAGAGTAGTATTTTCTTGAGTAGTTTAGAGGCACTCTATCATATATGAAGAATTTAAATATTTTCCTTTAAAATGGCTAAATGTTACTACATTTGGCAAACGGCAATTAACATTACTTACATTTACATATGTAGGATTTGATTCATATGCATAAAGAGTCCCATTCTCATCATCGGCAGAATGTATGCGAGTTTTTATCTAAGGAAGATTCATTAATAAATTAAAAGGAAGCATGAAAGGAACGGACAGAAAAATTTAGGACTTCAATTTCACTTTCAAGAAACTCCAAAAGTCTACCTATGGTATTAAAGGACCTTTGTTCATTGTAAATAGATACTGTGACTACAAAAAAAAAAGATGTACTTGCAACTACTTACTCATTAACCCAAGTACACTTATGACATATTTTCATCAAGCTTAACCTCTTGTATATCTAAGGGTAGAAAGACTAGTCTTCTAGTAATCTGGCACCAGAACTGCTGTAACAGCAAATATTTCTTAACACCAAGAACTATGTTACATGGCTTTTGATTTTTAAACCACTCAACAGTGCCACTCTATGGACAAAATAGAAAACACTTAAGTACCTTTTTGTTTTTGTTCTAATTTTTAGGAAATCTTTCTTTTCCTGATTATAACAGCACAAAAATTAATTATTGCTAGTAAAAAATAATAATAAAACATCTATAATTCTAGGTTTTTCTACATAGCATTTTACCAAGGCTTTTCTTTTTTCTTTCTTTTCAGGAGCATTTTTTAAATTAAAACATTTTTTCAATTACAGTTTATATTTACTATTATTTTCTATGAGTCTCAGGTATACTGCATAGTGGTTTGATACTCATATACTCTATAAAGTGCCCCCCAATGCTTCCCATATCCAATTGACATCATACAGCTATTATATTACTGACTACATTTCCTATGCTGTACTTTATAGCCCCCATGACTATTTTGTAACTATCACTCTGTACTTCTCAATCCATGTCTTTTTCTCAATAAATTAATCTCTAAATCACCTTAAAATTTTTTGAATGCTTTAAATAAATAGGTAGTAAATAACCATTAAACTTCATTTAACAACTCTTTATTCTAAGAATGAATTATGAACTATAGGAATAATTTTTAAAAATAAAGATCCTTCGAAGCTATATCTGTTTCAAAAGCTATAACCAAAGTAATATGGACTTGTTATAGATTAGTACTTATGAAAATATACCACCTTACTTTTGTATAGTGCCTTATGCTTTCCCAAGTGGTTTCACATGATTATGTCAGAAAAAATAACTCTCTGTAGGCAGTTAACATTATCTCCAAAAATGAAAGATGTTAGGACTAACAGAAGTTTTAAAAATTGCTTATACTACTTAAGTGGCAGTAATACCTACATCCATATGTAAGCAATATATTTTCTGTTAAGCTGAATTATGTGTAGCTTAAAAAATACTTTTATTCAACATCAGGGATCAAGAAACAGAATGAAACAGAATGCTGAAGACCATAACCACTTTTAAAACCTGGTGGATTCTCAGTTATAATTACACCAACCCTATGACCTAGCAATTCAATTCCTGAGGATTGACCCAAAAGAAATGTTAGTATCTGTTCACAAAAAAACCTCGTACATGAATGTTCATAACAGCTTTACAGATCACTGTCAAAACTTATGAATTATATACTTAGGATCTTTGCATCTCACTGTGTGAAATTAAATTCAATTTAGAAAAGAAATATAACACAATGAAAAGAACAAGGACATTTTTTTTTTCAATTTGAAATACAAACCACATCAACTTCACTGGAGCAGCTAGACATCTTTGTCAAACAGGAGCAACTCCACTTCTGAGTTGGGCCTAATTAATTTTAAACTCCTTGGTCACCTAGGACTGGTTAACCTTCTACTCCTGAAAAGCAATGCATAAAAAAGTTACCTTTTCATTACCTTAATAAACTTAGTATAGCTACATTCTCTCAATACCAACTCAAACTGAATTGGTGTACTGGTTGAATTTTAGAAATTCTCCATTCATGATTCAGAATAGACCTTTTAAACGTAAAGGGCTATATTGCTCATGCATAGGAACAAGAATCAAGATCAAACACACTTCTAAATTCTGAAGTGAATGCTCCACAATGTAAAAGCTACAGAGTAAATAGTGAAAACAAGAGGACATGATTCCTCACTGCTTTTGTAAAGGCAGCCCATCAGGCCTCCAAATCCTAGTCAGGAGTCTGTTCCAGCTTGGGTCCCAACCAGGTCGTACACTGGGCAGACCACTCAAGACACTGCCTCATCTGCCAGATGAAAAGTGGCTGAGATTATGTCTAAGACCATTTCAGGTTTAAGAACGAGTGTTTCCATAGTTAAATTTTATATCAAACCTAAGTAAATGTATATAAAATATAAACTAAAACTCTTCTAGAATTATGTATGCTCAGTTACGGTTCCAGATCATTTAACTTTGCAACTAGAAAAGACATGGAGCACAATACCATCATATTATATCTTGTAGTAGGAATATGAACCGTGAATGGCATCATGGTACTGGAATGGGTACATTTATAAGTGCAAATTCCCTCCCTCCCTCCATCCTGAGCCAGGGTAGTAATGACACAGCCACGATGAATGGAGAAGTAACTCTCAAGTTAATTCAAGATAAATGTAGGTTAATACTGTGGAAAAATTCAAGTTATAAAATACACCCAATCTGAGCTGTAACCTCAATCAAGTTTTAGTTTTAGACTATGTGTATTTTTCCTGATTATGAGACTAATACAAGCTATGAACAATTAAACAGTGGTGTTCTGGACATAGGAAGACTACACAGCAATGAGGATAAATTAACTATTGCTACACACAAACAGGACAAATCACACAACCGTAACACTGAGTAAAAGCCAAATTCTAAAGAGTGTACAATTCAATTGATCTAAAGCTCGAAAACAGGCAAAAGCAATTAATAGTGGAAAAATAATTTCTAAACCAATACTTCTACATATGCCAGTCACTTTAACAATTTAGTTTCCTGCATGCAGATAGCTGTAATTCATTTAACAAGTCCCTATGAATGGATGTTCAAGTCACTTGTGAAGTTTTGTTCTTACACTGCAGAGCAATCTCTTACCTCCGCTTGAAATCTCACAGGTATTTAATCTCTCTGCGCCTCAATTTCTTAACCTGTATAGTTGGAATATCTACTTCACAGGGGCTGTGAAAACCAAATACAGTTAAGTATCCAGCATCATGTCTGGTTCATAGCAAGCGCAGCCTCGTTTCCGTTTTGCTTCTTCCCACAAAATAAAGTTTGTGTAACATTTTCTTAGAGCCCAATCATGACTACATTTGGCAAAATTAGTAAAATTCGTCAAATTCAAAATCCTGCAAAATGATTTTACCTAAAATAAAGTTCATTTCTATTTTACCGTAGAAAACCTAAATTCTTGATAACATAAGAACAAAAAGCCATCTAGTTTTTATGATATTTTTAGACATTAAAAACACTTTAAAGGTATTTTTCAAAAGTCATTCGAAGATTCTGCTCTTAAGATACAAGGCATTCACTTTATCAGAATCATCAATTTATCAGAATAGTGAAAAAACAATCTGAAGGAATACACAGAAAAAGAGGGCAGATTACGCCAGGCCACTCCAAGGTTTTTTTTTTTAACAACAACAACAAAAACAAACCTGTTAATAACACACTGAACAATTACTTCCTAAAATTCCTATCAAATCTCGTAAAAGCAGCATTTCTGCTGTCCAAACGAAATTCCGCAGACTACAAAATAAGCCAGATCGGGGACAACGTTACCCAAAACGTGTTCCATTGCCTGGCACTGAATCTATAAAAGCAGAAAAGTTGCCTGGAAAAATCACGATCTATAAACATTAAACCAGTTTCAAACCCTATAGCAGTCCTAATTCCGGGAGAGGAGGGTAGGGAGGGAAGGAAGCGATCCTGAAAAGACTACGTTATCAAATGACCGTGCGCAGCTTGGGTCTTTACTTTCTTTCTCCTCGTTTATATTATTAACGATAATACGGCGAGGCTGCCCTATCTTCGATCAAACGCATTACCATCAAAGCCTCAAAAAACACCAGAATCTCAAAGATATAACAACCCCCCTATTTTACCACTTAAACTCGAAACTATATATACATATGAGAGACAGAGATTTAAAGTCTTGGTCGTTCCTCGCCGCCCCCCCACCTCTGCCAAGGAAGAAAAAAAAACGATGAGAAAAGATCGACTCGTCCCCCCAAATCGGCACGAACTACTCCACAAATGGCCAAAACGCAAAAGCTCGAAAGCGCGGGCATCCGCGAGACGTGGTGCGAACCGGCGAAACCAGCGGGAACCAGCCGCGAAACCAGCGGGGACCAGCCGGGAAAACCAGCGGGGACCAGCCGGAACCCACCGGAACCAGCCCAAACCATCCAGACTCCCCCGCCGACCCCCATCCCACAGCGCTGCTGAAATTTAATTGTAAATTTGCGATTCCAGAAATTTTTTCCCCTCAGGCAAATCCTCTCACCCACGCCACTTGACTCCCCGGAGTTTCTCAGGCATTAAAAATCACTGAACTACTCGCCCACACACAAGACAAGAAAATTCAAGGAGAAGGAAAAAAAGCCGCTGGAAAAACCTTTTCAAATCCCGTCACACCGACCTCCACACGACGCGGGAACCAGCTCGCCGCCAGCGCTCTCCCTCAGCGTCAACGGCAAACACCCTTTCGATCACTCGACGTCCCACCGGAAGTTGAGCCGGACGATGTGACGTCAGGCCGGGGCGTCTCACGCAAGCTGTGGACCCAAGCAATATCCTGGGACCACCGCGGCGCGAAGGCTTCCTGACAGGCAGATTACCTAGCAATCCCGAGGGCGCATGCGCAACCCTTGCCGGGGGACCAGGTTGTTGCTAGGAAGACTTTGCTTTCCTACTAAGTAGCGCCAAGCCGGCACGCGAGCTTTCCGTTCGCAGAGGCTGGTGGGATGGGAATCTGGCGCTAGTCCGCAGGCGCGATCTTGCAACGCCGAAAGGGGTTTTTACGGCTTTGAAGGGAGGGGGGGGGGGTCTCAGCGCGTGCACGTGCAAGCGCACGTGAGTTTTGGTGGCTGAGAGGATTACTGCAGGTGGCTCACGTGTGTGTGGCGTTTAGGCGCGAGGCCTTTCCACGGACACTGATTGGTTGTTCGAAGCTTTATTTTTATCATAATTCCTCTCCTCCCCCTCCCTCTAACGAGGTACCACAGACAGCAATCAACTTTGGATCTTAAGTGTGCTCTTCAGTAACAGAATTTGATGGGAGAGAGGGGCGTGGCCTTAGCAATGGGCTTTAGCAGTCCTGGTTTGGTACTAGCAGACCCTGCAGTCATATTTTCTGGGTTGCAAGCCCAGCTCCAGCGCTTAGTCTCTCTATGGCCCTGGGCGAGTAAAGTAACGCTCTGCGCTTTATTTTCCCCATCTGTAAAATGGGCACAATGTGGGAAGTACATGAGTTAGAGTAAGCAAAGCGCATAGAACAGTATTTTTGTACATGACTTTGCTATGTAATAAAGGGTACATGGCATTATTTGGTGGGATATTATCTATGTCTATCTCAAGGCTGTCTTGGAAGACAGCCTTATCTATCTTGGAAAGGAGGCACAGTCTTAGTACTTATCAGAAGCAAAGGTAAATATTTCAAAGTCAAGTCAAATATTTTCCTGGCCCGGAGAGAAGAGCTACAAGGAAAGTATATCCAACATAGGAAATGTGTTCTTTCTCCTGTCAAATACAAAGCTAGATTAGAGCCCGTTATATAGACAGCATTATTATTACTATTTATTATTATTATTTTGCTCATACTTTTGCCATAGCAATTGCCCTCTTTTATTTCCATTTCCCTGTAAAACGCGTGTGTTTAGGAAACGCCAAGAATGCAATTATATAATAATGAAGCAAGAAACCAGTTATTTAATTGCAGTCACGTTTATTTGCAGTTTCTATACACACTTTCTAGGTAATCAAACTTTCCTGGTACATTTTTTGAGAGGGGTTCACAATAAAACTGTCACCATTTTTACTAAAAATAAATACAAGACTTAAAGTGTTGCACAGCTCTAAAATATACAAAGGCTTGAATTGAATGTAAACGTTGAAAACTTACAAAAGAAACCGTTTTTGCAACAATTAAAAAAGTTCATATTTACAATATTACAAAAATACAAAATGGATGCAAGTCCATAAACCATTGTCTTTTTGGCCAGCATGAACTGGTTCTAGTACCAAAATAGTTACACTGTAACCTTCTTTATAGTTTTAAATCTTTTGTCATGATCTAGTTTTCTAAGTCTGCCACCACTGTAGCTAATGTACTCACTGAGCTTTGGCAAGAGCAAACAGTGTGTTTTGTTTGCTGTAACTAGTCCACGTCCTCTACTTAGCCAAAACAAAAAAAAAAAAAATCCAAAAGGAAGGAAAAACATTTCTCCCACATAACAGACATGTTGTACAAACATTTAAAAAATTACCATCAGTGCAAACAACAGAAGAAAAGTTTGGATTGATGTTTTTCGCAATACCTAATGTGTGTACCTTTTAAGATGGCAGTGATGTTGAAAACAGTCCTCTAAATCTTGGTCTTATATGCTATGTAATTAAGCCATGTAGAATATTCCACATTACTAAGGAATTCCTTGTTTTTTTTCACTCAGTTTGTTACTCAATACTCTTTTCCACAGCGAATTTAAAATCCATCTTTATTTGGGTTTTTTAATCTACGAAATATAAAATAGAGCAACTCTGCTATAGGTTTTTAGAGTAAACAAAATAAGTAAAACTATAAGGGTTAGTTCTGTGATCATTACATACAGAAGATATTTTATTGCCTCACAATTCAAGTCAATATGTATTTTAAAATATACATGGTGCCATTACTTAAATTAATGTCAATAATAAAAAGGTGACATATTTATTAAAGCCAATCATGTTTTCTATTCAAGATATAGAATCACTTTTAAAGCCCACATACACCTTGCTTTATGCTTAAAAAACCCCTAACTATACAAAGCCATACTGCAAACGAACTGCTTTTATGAAAATTACAAAAGATCACCTATTGTGACTGGAAATGACTGTTTCTTATCACATCTGTCTAAAAACTTTATTTTTAAAATTTTGCCAAGTGTACTTTTCAAAGCATGAGAAAAAGATATTCATGTTTCCATGTGGTGTCAAACCATGCTGGTTTTTTTAAACTAATGGGTTCCAATGAGAAATGATGGTCCATATTTCAAACCCCCAAATATTTTTCTTTTAATAAAAAGTATAACACTTTTTCAATGTTCAAACGTACCCTTTACCAGGTAGCTTATCTATCCCAGCACAAGAGTGTGCGAATGCACACACGTGCACACACATACATACATCCTCCCTCCTTTACCCCGCCACCCTCAGCACCCATTTTACGTACAAGGATGACAAGAAATTAAGAAACACAATTTGATAGCAAAAACAAATAGCAGAAGCCAGACTTGTTTTTTCTTTCAGGACAAACAAATAACCCAACAACAATCAGATTCCCTAATTCTCAATCTGTAACATCTTAGAAAGTGTTCCTTTTGAAAGACAGCATGTTCTTATACCAGGCTTTCTCCTTCCTATTGCATGAATTAAATCAAAACCACAACCCCCCTTTCACACATCCTACTTTCCCCAAAACCACTTGCATAAGCTAAAAGCCAGCTGCATATCAATTTCTTGGTAACTCTGGTATGTTCTATCATTCTAATTGCATTCTCTTCTTTTATAGGCGATATCCCTCTTTAGTTCTTTCCACTCTCTACCTTCTCTCATTAAAAACATATTCTAAGTACATAACTGCTTATATTTCTGACATATTTCAAACATTAACATCAGTTCATGTTAAAATCCGAGGTGTAAAAACTATTTTCAGATTTCAACTTGTAACTATATTTTTTTCAGTTTTAAGACAAGAAAATTCAAGTAATTTCAAGTAATTCAGCTTGTTTCCCTGCCTTCATTTTATCAGAGCACTTGCCTGACATTTCCTTTCCCACCCACCACCCCTCCCCTTTTGCCATCAAGCAGATAGAGTAAAATCAGACAAAAATTCGGTTGCATGTAGAATTGTGAACCAGAGCTGTTCCCCATTCCCAGCTTAACAGTGAGGATAAATAATGCATATACACATACCTATTTCCCAACTACATTGTTCACAGTGTCATTTCTGTTCATTTTTAGGTAGCACGAATCTCATGAGCACAGAGAGAAGCTTCACTGAAAACTCATTGCAGGTATTCACTGTTATATCAACAGCTCTGTGGCATGCTTATGTTTCATTTTCGTTAAAGAACCTGGAGCTAACTGCTAGACTGTTTAAGGAGTTTTAAGATTATAGTCATTAGATTATGACTGTTTATGTCCCCAGTAGCCTAATATAAAACATAACCTAAAATTAACTAGTTTTCCCTACTCATTCTCTTTAAAGTAATCCACTGAAAAATTAAAGTTTAAAGGACACTGTCAAATGCTGTTGTTCAGGGCATTGTGTTGATAATGATGATTTCTCTCATTGATTAAAAAAAACAAAAGCATGCTTTTCATTCTGTCCAAATTTCCACATGGCAAATCACAGCCACGTGATTACTACTATTAGCTTGTTTGGTACTGCAATTTGTCACAAAAATGTTAGGTTTGAATTCATTATTTTAAATTAATCACATTTCAGTATATGACCTCAAGATTTATTTTATTTCACCAGTTTAAAATTCATATATGAGGTTTATCACTTAGAAATCATATTAGTGGACATTTAAATATGGTATTTGATATGAAAATGGTATTCACAGAATACAATTATTACACTTTATCTGTTGTGTTGTATAAACAGTTGGTGTGCAGTAGATAATTTGTCACATGTCCACTTGTCATTGATAAATCTATGTACACATTTTTATCAAAAATATGGTATTTACATGTGTGTAGTTCTTTCTTCTAAATTTTGCTTTAGTTCATTTTAATGTAAAAAAATACCAAACCTCCAGAGTAATTTCATCTTCTTAAGAATTATGACAGTGAGGGTTGTTTTCTGAATAGGCAGCCTTGGGAAAACTTTTTTCTAGGTTTCTTGAAAAGCAGACATTTTAAAATCCTATATTATCAAAAGGAATGACATTGGGTAAATCAAACTAAGCTAAAGAAAAATATGAAAGACAGTGCTACTTAAAAACATGGAAAATAATCAAGAAAGACAAAACGACCTTTTGTTTCCCCAGCAAATATTTAGAAATTCATTGGTAGTAAGTGATGGTACCCCATGATGTACTGACTTCCCTAGTCTTCTGTTCTATTCCCCCATCCTCATAAGGGTTTTGGCCTTTGACAGCCAGCCTGGCACAGGACACCTATGTTGAGCTCTGGGAGGATCGGTCATCATGTGGGCTCCCATCAGAATTTTCTGTCTCACCCTCAGAGATGGCCTGCATGGGCGCATTGTACAGCCTGCAGCGGACACTGTAGCGGCTGCTGCTGGCCACAGGGGGGGCCCTGGAACGTCCAACCCTTGCTGATGCTGAAGTGGCAAAGTTCTTTGACGAAAACCCTTCTGCATTAACTCTTGGGGAGCATGGAGAGAGTGGGGACAATGCCTCAGCACCAGGTGCCCCCTGATGGACTTCATGGGTGCTATGGGGGGACTCAGCTGTGAGGTCCCCAGGAGGTTTAGGTAGGATGGGACTCTTCAGGATCTCAGTAGCAGACATGCGGTAACTGGAATCTGAACGACTGCCTTTCTTGAGGAGTAACAGCTTAAACTCTTCATTGGATGTGTTGGACTTTTTAGCATTTCGGTAGATGAGGCCA